CGAGTGCCTTTACCCTTAGTCGACTCGCACGGAACGATTTCAGGAAATACATCCTTGAATTCGATCAAATCCTTATACAAAGGATTTGCCTGAAGTGACTTCCAGGATTGAGACGTGTGACGATCAATCCGAGTCTTCTCATCGAGGACACTTTCGTCCATCGATGAGCTGCTGAGAACCCGTTCGCTCTCAGCAAATACTGTTGCCGACCAAATATCGGCCACATACTCATCCTCTGCGACGAGTATGCAGATCTACTTGACTTTGCCACTACGCAGATCGCGCAAGAATCGTGTCGGTTCTAGCGTTGGCAATTGAGTTATTTCCGAAGTAAACTTTGGAGGCACAATATAATCAAGCGTATGAGCGCCTACACTTGATCCGTCATTGACCAAGACGTTCAACGTCTCGGTTTCTTCCTGGCAACTTGCTTCCACAGCTTGTTGATAGCCCGTTCTCTCAACATGTAACTCGAGAGGAAGTACTTCCTCTTGAACGTGAGGAATCGTTCCCTCTACGTTTTCTGAATGTGGCTGTGCAACCACATTCAGGGACTGATCCTCTAAGGTTGACTCTACAGTCGACTTAGGATGACCGTGTTGACCCTTTATGGCAACAGGGTTCTTCTGTTTAGGACGTTGTCCGCTAGACATACATCCATGTCCCGGTTCACTCAACTTATTCGAGTGGTGGACCTTTGGCGCTGCCTGTACCTCTGTACAGCCGCCAGGAGCTTGCTCCGCAGTGTAGTGATCATCTACACTGTGGTCTTGTGCAGTCGTGCTAACGACCGTACCTCAAGTGAGGCCATCGCACTCACTCGCAGTACGTCCATACGCTTGTGGAACGCTCCATGACGTTAATCAGATGGTCATCTGATGAACAAGCGGCAGGCATTTCCACGAATCGATGCTGCCAGCTCACTCTTGGCTCGTATCTTCTGAGCCAAGGTAACCCCAAGATGGCATCGAATTTGTAATCCAGATCTAGTACGATGAAATCATCATCGTACTGTTCGTACTCCAACGTGTAGTGGATTCCCACTACACGTTTCTTAACGGTAACCGATGCGCCTGTAGCAACGCGCACCGTCATTCTCGGAGAGGGATGTCGCGCTCAACTAACTTGAGCCTACGATCGTCCAGTGACTGGCGACGAACAAAGTTGTTTGATGCCTAACAGTTAACCAGAGCACGAAGTGACATATTGTTTGTCACTTCTAACTTTAAGGTGATGAGTGAAATCTCATCACCAGGTGCAGAGACACACAATGATTGTGTGTATGAAGCAACTTTTGTCAAGAGATTTGCAAATTCTCTTGAGGTTGCTGGATCAGTAGGGCGCTCCGCCCCTACTGACCCCGACCATTTTTTGATGGTCCGCTCTGCTGTTGTGGTTTCGCAACAGCGCTGGACCCACGCCCATTGCCCCTTTTGGCAAATGGACTACCATTTCGCTCAGTATTGTTTGGTACTGGGCGAGGGGCACTACACTCGTAAGCGTAGTGTCCTAACTTCTGGCAGCGATTGCAGAAGTGCAATCGCTTGTTGTTCGAAGAACGAGGTTTCTCGCTCTCAACATAACAGAGGTCCATTGGTTCTGGACATCCGGTCTCTTGTCATCTCAGTGGACGATAAGAGCTCGAGCTAGCACGAGCTTGTCTCATGCTACAGTCCTACTGTTCCGCTGCTGAGATAGCATCTTCTAGCGTATCTAACTTTAGACAGAACAGGTGATTTCGGACGGGCCCCTCAGCGAGCCCTTGCATAAACACAGTAATCAACGTGTGTTCATGCACTGGGTTGACAGTTATACTACTCGCAAGGAGTCGTATATGTTAGGCGTAAGCGCGCACGTCACGCTTGCCCTGTTTAAGCTCCAGAAGCTCCGATCGAGCTCTGAACTCTGCTCTTGGCAGCTCAAACGTACGTTTGAGCCGGGTTTTGAAGGATTCAAGCGACTCAAAAGCAAATGAATCGCTCATCTCCAGCCCTAAGGCCCAAGTCTTGGCACGTCCCGCCAAATGGGATTGAGCAAATATTAATTTCATTTGCTCATCGTCGATACGACGTGCCTTTATGAATCTTTCGAGCTTGACGAACCATAATATCAGGGAGTCTTCTTCGACTCCTCTGTACTCGGAGATATCAACCTTCAGGATTTCGGGACGACGCATGCGCCGTCTTGCCCACAGCAGCATTAAATTGCTGCTGTCTCAACAGCTCAGTCTGTTAGGCACCGAGTTCTCTCAACTGCTCGGCCTGTTGAGAGCCTTGCTGGTGAAACAAGGCTACTTTCTCCCGTTCGGTAGCAAGTTTATATTTAATGAACCTGGCGATGGAGGCATGATGTTGGTCTCTGTCAAGAGACTCCAACATAGCGCTAACGCCAACGTCGCCCACGGTAGAGCTCATTCGCCCTACCGCGGCCCATTCGAGATCACTGAAATGGGTAAGGCCTTCACGCGTCGCGTGAAAGCTTTTTCCCTCATCCATCATGTTCATGATAGATGAGATTCTTGGTCGCTGGAAGGACTATGAAGTGCTACCAGGTGTAACGGGGCACACTCCTTGCGTGAGCTTAACGCAAGGGTGACGTGTGCCCGACAAGACCTACACAGGGCAACCGAGGAAGCGGTAGGCAAAACAGATCCCGAAAGCTCTGTCTTGAAGGAAAAGTAGAACTGTTTATCTGATATAGTTATAGCGTTAATAAACCATCTTTTGACTTACTCTTACTATATTAAACTATCTTCTCCTCTGTGGGTCTCTTGCTCACCACCCATTGCGCGCGTCCAGCAGTGATTGGTGGTTGAGTTGGTTGATGTACACCGTACATCAACCGAGAAGTGGACCCCTCCACGGATACTATCCTTAGCGATAATAATCCGACAACATCACTCATTTCGAGTGATGCTGATTGAATATTATCAAAACAGATAATATTCAAAAATTGGAACTTTCGTACCAGTTGTTGATGTAACGGGCTCACCCCGTTACAATGTCCATCTATGATGATGAAATACATGGGACATGTAATGAATGTGTAAAGCCAAAATCAATTTTCACAGCTGCGATCGCGATAAGAACGACACGGACGGGTTTTGCCAGGTGCTTCTATCGAAACGAGCGTCCGGTTTTTTCACCGTCATAATAGGATCGACAGGTCATCAGAAATCAGGATATAGTCAGCTTTCGAATAGTATCTTCACCCATAGACAAATGCCAAAGTATACTTTTGCACACACGAGCGGAAAAATATCGAGCTGCAGATTTAGAACTTTTTCTCGGCATGTACCCACGGCGCCTCAGTCTTCCAACTCTTCGTAACGACTTGACGCCACAAGTCGGTGGCAGGACAAGCCCTCGCTTCCCGGAGACATTGTCGATCATTGGCACCCACTGATCGACGCACCCCCACTTCTGATGGTAAGACTCATCTTGCTCAAGTCTCTGCCCACCCACGTCCTCCCATGTCCGTGCGTCTTCTCGATCACGAATTCACGTGTCGCTGGAATGGCACCACTTTTGCGATCATTAGCCTGCCCCAGCAAAGCAGTTCGCCTCGACTCGGTTCGAGTACAGACAAATCGTCTCGCAATAGATGGTTCAAGCTCGCCGATCGACGCCGTCCTCTCAGTAAGACCTAGAAGGGATGTTGTCTTTCTCGGCCCCACATGTGGTCGCTTCAGATCGTGCAGTTCTTGGCGAGACCGCTCTGTACACGCAATAACCCGCAGGAACAACACCCTACCAGCTGGAAACAGTGGAGGAGTCTATCCGCGATGCGTGCTCAAGCCGCTCGCTACCCGTTGCACGTCGACCCGTACATCCGACAGCACTCCACACTCGTCGAGCCATTCCATGTCTAGAGTCAAGATCTCGTCCAGCTTCCACTCACCCGGCAACAAGTATAAACTTGGAGCGCTGAGCGCTGCCGACGTCGTACGAACGCCCTGGTCACTCTTCTGTGGTCTTTGCACGTTTCTCCATCTCTGAACTTGCATGCGTTCATGAAGTGACAGACACGTTACGCTTGCACTGCTTTGAGTCTCGTAGCCGCAACTTTCGATACACCCCGACTGCAAACGCACCAGCATCTGACTTTCTGCACTCTGACCTTTTGCCCCGCTGGGCCAACGTCGAGCTTAGCATCTACTTCTTTTCATTGACTACACGGCTCATCGAGACCAAAGCAGCTAGCGATTCCGACCAGGCTCACAACTCTTCACAATGTTAGTATCCGGGCTCGCGCTGCTAGTAGACATCTTTGACCCACGAACTCTGCCAGCTCCGACAACAACGGTTGTGTGTGTGTGCTCCATCAACGCGTTGACGGGGCCAAGTAGATAGGCGCAATCGGTTGTGAGATTCGCATTCGTACCATATTCATTCCAGCGCATCTTTTGCTGCACCGTGCGCTTATCTCGTATTGCATCAAGTCCATGACCGGCACGGCTTGGTCGCCGGACAAAACTGGCAAAAGAAGTGACGTTTACAAGCTGATTCTGTAGCTCCACTACGTGCACTGAATGCATCTTCTACTGCAGCACACGATCAGCTCTATCAAGCTCTTTCACTAATAGACGCAGGAGATGTGTTCAATGTAAGCCAAAGAGTAAAACAACATCAGGGTCTTGTCGACACAGATATTCGTATACATTTTGCGGAACATCATCCTACGACTGCCTCGTGTGTGTTCATGACGAGATCTCCACACATAACTACTTCGTGTCCGTACCTGCCGAGGACGATATCGCTAGCCTAGTTGCGCCAAAAGTCCCACGACGCCAACTCAACCTGTAGCGTGACACTTTCAGCAGTCGAAACGTGTTCGTGCTGTAAGCAAGCAAGCAGGGCAAGTCAGCGCCTACAGCGATCGAAAACCAGTGGAGGAAAACAACCGCAGTGTCATCACACCACGACGAGCGTCCGCTATGAACAAGAGTAACACAGTATTAACAATGCACACGACACGACAAACCACCAGCTCATCCGTCGTCAATTCAGTCCACTTCGCTGTTGCTGGCAAGCTGCAACCTGTGCCACAAGTGTCGTCATCACCTGCATGAACTGATCATTTCGACGGCGGTCCTCGACACGCTCTTGCTCATACCGACGACGCTGTTCGCGGATCTCTTGCTGCCACTGCAGCTTCTCCTGCCGACGCTCCTCGCGTTCCTGTTCACGCTCCAAGTCCCGATGACGCTGCAACTCGAGCAGCACGAGAAGCACCGTCTGCACCAGATCTTGACTCGACGTCGCCTCGTTGTTCTCAATCTGCGTCCGTAACGTGCGCAACCGCTCGCCCGCAATTGGCCATCGGCCAAGACTCTGCCACGCATCGTCGCGCAGCATTGTCTCTTGCCCCAGCATCGAATGCTGTTGTTGCTGCTGTTGCGGCTGCATGCTCTGAGTAAGCGTCTGCCGCAGCTCCAGCTCACTGGCCGTCACCGTAGCTTCCGGCAGAGACTGCGACTGCGTACCCGACTCGGCCGTGACCATGGCCACGTCGCCCAGCTCTTCTCTCAGCTCGTCCTCTGGCACGCGCTCGAGGCTGCTCGCTGCAACGTCCTTGACAAGGTCCTCCTCCTCGCTCTGCACCGCGCGCTGACTCGCCACCAGACCCCGTCGCTGGCCCCGCATCTCCTCGCGCACTTTCTTGGCCAGAGACGCTGCCCGCGCGTGTTTCTCCTTTGTGCTGGCACTGATTTTGGTCCGGTAGAGCTTAGCGAACTTGCGCTTGAGCGAGCCAGCGGTGCGCCGGTGACCGGGAAACTGCGCGTTGTGCACGTCGGCGATCACGTCCCATCCCTCTTGCCAGTGCCCACGCACGACGTGGAGGAGTCCTTCGGTCTCTTGCACGGAGAACCCGTCGCCGCGCTTGGAGAAGCCGCGACGAGAGGCCGCAGACTCGCCGTCGTCCGACGACCCCCCGAGACGAGCAGATGTGGGCGATGAGGCCATATTTTGGGGGGAGATAGCGTCGAAATGGGCGTTTTGAGCAAATTGGGTCGACCCATCGGTATACTTGTGAAACCGGTTTCGCATGCAGCTCACTCGGTATCCACCTTATCCTGTGTACTTAGACGACAAACGGCCTACCCTCGCTCTATGGCGCTACTCACTGGTTCCTCTCTCTCTCTCTGTCCGTGCACGCTACACGCTCTTCTATTTCGGCTGCTCTTGTTGTTGCTGCTGCTGCTGCATGATCTCGGCGTAGCTCTCTTGCAGACGAACGGACGAGCGCATCGTGTGGCGCAAAAACTTCTCGGCGCAGTTGTTCACGCACGACGTCTCCTTGTCGTCCAGTTTCTTGCTGCGGAAGGCGTGCACACAGTCCGAAAAGCACAGCTCCACGGTGCGGCTGAAGTACGCGATGGTCTGCGTCACGCGCATTTCCTCAATGTGCTCCTCCATCTTGCGCTCGAACTCTCGCTGGCTCATGCTCGTCTCGTATTTCAGCTCGTGATCGTGACGAGTAGTTTTCTGCGTTGTGATTTTTGGACTGGAGCGGACTCCAACCGGTATTTCCGAAATAAACCGGTAGAACAAGTACTCCATCGAGATTGATCGAGCGACCGACACACAGGCGACACTATGAGTGCGGCGGCGTGGGCGTCGTGGCTGGACCGACTCGAGAGCGCGCGCGGCCAAGAGCAGGCGCTGTCGAGTAAGATTCGAACGGGGAACTCGGGAGGCATTGGCACTAGCGTTTTCGCACTGCAGCAGAGCGTGTCGCGACTCAAACGCGACTTTGACCAGCTCCAGCGCTCGTCGTCCAGTTCAGTGTACGCATACCGTCAACATTGTGGAAAACGTGCGGCTGAGGGTATCGTTGCTCCCTTGACGCTATGTTTTGTGATGGGATTCGGCTGTCATAGGACAGCGCAAGAGATGAAGCGGCGTGAACTTCTATTGCACCAACTCGCACGAGACCAGGTCGGTGGATAAAGTGTCTGGAGATGGCACCGCGTGTCGACGTTTTGTCTGACAGTGTGCGGCACCTGTACCTGCTTCTTGTGTGCGTCTGTGGGTGGCAGCAAGAAGATTTGGATATGTATAACAACCGAAAGGTGTCACGATCTGCAGTGAGGTGCGTCGCGAGCTTGGAAGGACGCTGCCGCAGGTGGAGACTGACTGACGCGTTGCTGTGCTGTCTGTGGATACGTATCGGTAGTCCGGGAGCGACCGATGCGCCGAAGAAGCTGCTGGGCATGCAAAACCAGATCATGAAGGACCAAGATCAGCAGCTGGAACTGATCGGTCAGGGCGTGTCGAATCTGCGCAACTACAGTCTAACCGTCAAGGACGAGACAGAGCTGCATGTGCGGCTCTTGAGCGAGATTGACGACGACGTGACCCGCGTGACGGACGGACTTGAGACGGAGGGTGTGCGTGCAGCACGGGTACGACACGAGTCCGTATCGCCTGTTGCTGCTCACGTCCTTTGATAGCTCACTCTTTGCCCTTCTTTTCTCGTGCTTCGCGTACCAGGTGGCCAAGCAAAGCAACAACACCAAGCTGTACATTATCATCGTCGTGCTCGTGGTCATCCTCGTGTTCCTGCTCCTCGCGGGCGGATGAGCTTCGTGCGCGTCGTAGTCTAGTCATGTCGAAGCGCTGCATGTGACGTGACAAGGTCTATTGAACAGCGACGTCTGCTTCAACCGTCGCGGTCCACGACTGTGCCTTAGTCGAGACAAAAACACGCTCCGGACGAGGCGTTCGTGAACTCACTTTGCGTCCTGCCTCTGCCTTCCCATCTGGTACGACTGCACGACCCAATTCGTGCCTCCCAACAACTTCCAAGCAGAGCTGCTCGTAACATCCGTATCGATAGGTACATACAGTCAGTCAGTCAGTCGAGCAACATGCCCTCTGAGCAGCAGCAGCAGCAGCAGCAGCAGTTTCCAACGCTGCGGGACGCCCACCGCTCACCTGTGCAGCTGCCGCAGTATTCGCGCACGACGAACGGCAATGGGGAACCCAAGCGACGAGCTGTCGACAGCGACACGAGCGAGAACGGGACGTCAGGCCGAGCCGCCGCCATCGCCCGTTGCGAGCGCGTGAGTATGGAGCAAGTGCTGCTGAACCGCCGCTGGGCGTTCCACTACGCGTCGCCGCTGTTCCACTTCCATCGCGACGAACTCAGTGAGTATGCGCACGATCTCGTGAAGGCGCTGCGGACGGCAGCGCTGCGTGTTTGTGGCCAGCAATTTGGCTATTCCGTGAGCATCCGCAGCGCCGACGCGTTTGTGGTCTTTCAGGTTCACGAAGAGCGCGACCGCCAGCACGTTGCACAGCCGACCAAGACGGGAACATCTGCGTGCGACCAGCAAGAGGCGCTGGAGCGCTCGGGCGGCTTTGTGCTCTACTTTCCCACCAAAAAAGAAGAGCGAGCGCCTCGCAAAGGATGCGAGAGGCAACAGGTGCTGCTTTTGAGGGGAGACGAAGAGCTGCTGCGCTGGATATGCTCGTGGCTCCAGCGGCGCTTCCAGTGTGTCGTGAGCTCACAAGTGGTGCGCATCAAGCAGCTGAACCTCAAGCGGCTGGCGCGCAACTGGACGGTGGCAAGTCTCTCGGCCGAGCGAGCGAGACTGTCAAGGGCTCAACGTGATGCTGCTGCTGGTGGTCAGGGGGAGTAGAAGAAGAAGGCGACGCGCTTGTACGCAGCGGGTTCCCGACTGCACCAGAACCACTGCGAGCACCGCTGTTACTGCAATACCGCGCGACGAAAGAAGAGGGCGTCGTGCGCACGTACACGCTCACAGTTCCTTGGGCTACGCTGCGTCGACTCTTCTGGCAGGCGAAAGACGGATCTGGAGGCAGCTGTCCGTCCACTCACGTCCCAGGTACGCGACTAGCGGCACTTTTACATTGCAATGAGCTGTGCTGCTGCCGTTTGCTGTGCTGCTGAGGTTTGCTGTGCTGCCGCCGTTCGCTGTGCTGCTGACGTTTGCTTTGCTGCTGCCGTTTGCTTTGCTGCTGCCGTTTACTGTGCTGCTGCCGTTGCTGTGCTGTCTGTGCTCGTGATCGGGTTGTTGCCGGCCTTTAGAACTCATCGAGATGACAGAGCGCTTGTACGTTGACACGTTGCCGTTCGACTTGTCAACGTACGAGATTGAGCGGATTGAGATGCAGGAAGTGGCCGTTGAGCTGGACGGAGGCGTGGAAGTGAGTCTTTCTACTGCGCTGACCCGTTCGCCTGCTTGGCTGCTCGACTAACTCGACTTGTGCTCGTTTTGCCCTCGCGCAGCTCTACAGCATGGACCTTGTACACACTGTTCTATTTAGCCTGCTGGAGCTGCTAGCCGTTCAGAACACCGGTGCGACGGCGCGGCCCGAGACGACGCTCTGACCGACTGCCATTGTCTCCAACTAGTGCATGCAGCAAAGCCAGCAAGAAAGCCAAAGTGTCGGCCGACCTCCATTCGAGCTACTGAATACCACGGAGACACGCGTATCTGCGTTCCGCACCGCCACGTGAGCTGCACGCAAGAATCAATGAACGTGTTTGATCGGTTTTCGGTGGTTTGACAGATGCGGTCACGTGGACAGCTTCGCCCACGTGTCTGCTCACATGAGCTGCGCTACGTGTGCTGCTGTCATCTCAACTATGACACACGTGCAGAGCGCATTTACGTCAAGTCTTGTTTGGCACACCAATTAGTGGCGTGACTCACTTATCGAGTGAGTAAATTGATTTCTTGATGTTTTGTACTTAGATTGAAGACGTTTATTTTTTACCCCACTTATATTTGATGCAAGTGACTGTCAATCTGTTAAAATCTACGTTTGTCTTCAGCTAAATTCGTAGAAGTAAGAAAAAAATATGGGCCATATGTTTGATGATGAAAATGTACAACAAGATCGAAACAATACACGACGGGGTGGAAAAATGAAAGACTGCACTTGTGATCTCGACTATGTGTCCGCATAGACACATGCTTGGGATCATTCGGATACGTCCACGTAGACCTTCTTCATTCCCTCTGTTATTACACTAATCGATTCTCTTATTATTCGTCTTCGTCGACAGTCATTTTGCGAGAACGAAAACGTGTGGGGACGCTGCAGGTGTAACTTGACAGTGTTGATGATTGTCCGGTAGTAAGGCCACGTTGCTTTTTTCTCTTTATCCAGATCTCATGGCTCGGTATCGCAAATTGTGTAGCTGTCTATGTCTCGGTGGTTCTCGGTGAATGTTACATACGAGGAGCGCAGTGTTGAGAAGGTTGCTTACAACGATGTGGAAGATGTCAAGAAGCTACTGAGGCAGTATCAGACGAGTAATAGACAAAGGCAGCGAGAGTGAACACTGTACTGGTAAAGCTGACGGAGTTCCCATATACTGTTTCAGGTGAGTACGCGGATGCTCGCGGACACACACAAAGTGGAAGGTACGCTGATACAATGCGCAATACTGACAGAGTGCCACGGTCGTCACAAAATGAAGCTGCTACTGGTGGCAGGCATAGTAGTTTTTATCTGTAGACTTCCAATTAAAAGCTTTGAATTTCTGTCGTGTGTACTATTGCTGTAACGGGGTAGCCCGTTGCATGAAATTGTCACTAAAAGAATTTGACAAAAAAGAATATTACGTCGAATATTCTTTTAACAATATCACAGACATGGTGATATTGTTGAGATGACCGAAGGGTCTACTCATTGGTTGATATTGTGATGATATCAACCCACCAATCGCTGCTAGACGCGCACAACGGGTGGTGAGTAGACGTCATCATACTTTTAGTTACATTAGTATAATTAAGTCAGGACAACAGAGATTCAAGAAGTTGTAGGACTGAATTATATTAATACAGTTTTACTTTTACCAGAGACTAGTCTGACTATTAGTCTCCTTTCCTTCCTCTGTGTTCCTTCAACACCTAGCACGGCACTGTCGACCACTGTCGTCAGTGGAAGTATACTACGTACTGGTCAATCAGTACGTAGTCAACAGTGCCCCGTTACAATTGCTATCTGTAGTATATAATAACATGCACACGAGCGCAGATACCTCAGTCCACTTAGTCTGCATCTAACATGTAGCACAATATGCCGATTGATGCTTCCTTAGCATCATCCTTGACGTACTTGCTCTACCTGCGTTCACACAAACGCTCTATGTGCGTTCACACAAATTAATGTGGCTCGCGTCGTTGAGTTTATGTATCCTGTGACAAAGGTGGTGGCGTGTCAACATCTTTTACGCTATAAAACTAGTGGACGAATGAATAAAAATGACAAATCCGACACCACCAAACCACTGATTATTCAATTGCTTTCGATGTATGGCGACATTCAAGTGTATATCAGCAAAAAGCACAATATCTTTGCATGCGATCCTCAGCAAGTGTATGCTCGAATGCAGTTTACATCGTCGGTTCACAATGCCCGTAAAATTTGGTATATCTTTGTGCTCGTGATGTTTTGGTGCATTTTCCTCATCTACATGGGTTTCTCTCCAGATGATCGGCTTTTTACACCCCCGATAAAAGATTGTCAAATACATGTTGTCGTAATGCACATGATATTTTTGCAACAATCAGACGCATTAGAAATTGTGCATTGTGCAGGCATCGCGGTGGACATGGTGAATAGCATGCAGAAGTGTCTCGAGAATGCGTGAAAGAGCGCATTTGCGAATCATGGACCATATAGTGAATACAATACGTTGATGAAGCCGATACATTTCGGCCAAAATGATTGCCGAAGTGGGTTCAGATCATCTAACGAGGTGCTGCGGACACTTCCGGGTGGTTGCTTGTGCAGCTAAGACAAATGTGAGGGGGGATAGCTACAATGATACTTCTAGTCTTGACAACATCCTTGATATCATGCGGAATCGAAAGGGTTGTATATACAATGGGCAAAATTGCTGATAGGGGATAACCGCCCGCAGCCCAAAGCTGAAGCTGTTCACGTCAGGCCCAGCACCTCTAATGCAAACGTGAAGAAGCCAAGATAGATGAGACGGAGGAATGTACGCAGGAGGATCCGCTTGACTTATTGACATGGCTTGCTAGTGTATGAACGGACTCGAGGTGTGAAAAGAAGTAAACGATCAATCAAAGGTAAGCAGTCTAGCGATTTTTGGCGTTTAGGCTCTTCGTCCGCAGTAATCTTTAAATTGATAGTGACGGACACAAAGCTTTGACGAAGGTTGCTGTAAGCTTGTGATGTATAAGGTAAGTTAAAAAGCGCGTGCTACAATTTCAGGCTAAATGATAACCGAAATACAGAAAATAGATGTTTTGCATCAATTTACCTCCATGTAGCCAATATGCACATGATACGCATTGGTGTCGCCTAGCCATTGGCTGGCTGCGTTGAATCATCTAAATTTGTATTGGGCGACGTAGGCTTAAATTAAGCTCAATTTGCACGGTATGTACCGTTCACGCACCTGAGCCGACAGTGCATGTCTTGACCTATACCCTGCTATCGGCTCTGTCCATCGCACTTCCTTAAGAGCTTAACAATCCCGAAACGACAGACGATGAATCGCACTGCCTTCGACACGACGTCGTTCGCAATCTCTCTCTACTGACAGTTTATCGAATCGGGAATTGGAGAATGGACCGATGATGTAACGGGGTTACACGTCGGTTAGTAACCGACACAACATGTGTGGTTTACATTAGGGGTGAAGTCCCATTAAAAATAGTATCATAACACCGTATCAGTTGTTGGGGAATGACGTGTGCCAGCCACCAAAATACGAGATCTTGTAAGGGGTGTTGATTAGAATAGTAGTGTCTGGATTAAATACGTATGTCTTAGGTGTTCTTTTAGATAACAACAAACAAAGTCCAATTCCCCTTTTGATCTGTTTAAGACACGTGCCTTCCTAAGGCGTCTTGAGATCGTTCAGTGTATAGCAAACGCCTTGTCAAGGTAGCTACTCTTAAGCCCTCTGTGCTATGCTTATTCAGATCGTTTGGTCCTCTGGAATAGGGACCGTAAGCTCTTTATCTTGTTGACTCTCTGAGTCCAGTCCTTTATTCAAATTTCTCGTTGAGCGTTGACTTCTTATTCTAAATTAAAGATCTGTGCAGCTCCGCTACCGATGTACACTGGAAATCCGTACGAGCAAGGATCATATAATTCACTTAATCGAATAAAAAGACCAAGCGATGATTCCCTGTTCCTGCGAATGTGATATCGGCGCTAAAATTGAAATTCTGGATGCCTCAATCAACACATTGATCTGATACGATATGGGCCAGTTGATCCGTACCATTTTACGGGTCCAAGTATATTAATATCCAGATGTACAGGTCAAAGATGGATAGTTACCGACCTTGACTGAATTAACGTGGGAATCGATGATGGATAGAAGTAATGTAGGTCCGGATCGGTATGTCGATTCGAACCCAACTAGTTTGTTACAATATTGTGGTGTTGCAACACGCCGTTGGTATAACTATACACCATTAACAACATCGATTAGCAGGAAATCGATCACATTGATGTAATTTATGAGAGATCAAGAGTGAGAATGACCAATCTAGTGGTATGGATGCTGACAAAAAACTATAGAGATCGATCTGGTTAATGAAGACATATACAAGCCACAAGACTTTCAATGGAAGTATGTTTGCGTACAACTTCTGCTTGGATACTTGATCCAACCGAAGAGTGATCAATACCATACCGGCCCGGTGACTGAGTGGAAAAGCACTGGTATAGGGACCGAAAGGTACGTGGATCGATACCCACGCAGGGGCGGTACGATCACACATCGCCGGAGAGTGGCTAACAAAGACGGATATAGTGGGTCGCTCGCATACCAGAACATACCTTAGACCTTCTCTTTCTCTCAATACCGTGTCGTCTTATTGGAGACACTCGTCGAAGAAAGTACCAATCATCAATATAGCGTAATTTTTAACGGGTCACGTTCTTAGTCATTACTGGTAGGCCCTTGTATTTCATTTCAATACAAGGGAGCGTGCTTAGGACTTCACGTATACGTAAGCGTCGAGAGAGTGCGAGGAAGAGAGCTGAGCGAGGATGCTTCGAGTAAAAAAAGAAGGACTGTATATGATATAGTTGTTTCTGATGATCAATCTTATCTGTCTTACTATAACGATGTCGTACTACATTCAACTATGTATGTTTCTCGCTCACCGCCCATGGTGCGCGTCTAGCAGCGAGAAGAGCTTACTTTTGGTTTATATTTAGGTATATATCAACCAATTAGTGAGGGGACGTACAATCACCCTAGAAGATATTATAGTATCAAAGGTTCTATTGACGGAAAGCCACTGACCAAAACAAAAAAATCGAGCTGTCGTATGAGGTTTCCCACATGAATCTTTTGCTAGTGATGTACAAATGCGCCTATGTTAG